GGGAGCAAAAGATCAATGATTTCGACCTCTTCTGTAAGGAGGACATCTATTTTGGGGGCTAATTTCAAAATATGATAGATTTAGAGGTTAATATTAAATGAAAGATTTAGGGGACTAATATTGAAAAAAACCCTCTTATTTTTTATAATTAATTGGGATACACGTGTGTTTTGCACGTGTTGTGGTGAGGGTATTTTTGGAAGTTATTGTCTTTTTTTAGCTGAAAAGTTGATTTAGTATGGCATTGCAAACATAACAAGAAGTAAAGATTGTTTTGATAAAAAATAAAAAGAAAAAATAGTAAGTATCAATTTAGATAAAAATTAAAATATTTTTTATGTAAAAACCCAAGAAATTATCTACAAAGGTTCTTGTTATTGTTTTTAACGGCACTTGGTCCAAGAGAATTTCAACTTTCAACAACTTGGTCCGTGGAGTGTAACCCAAAACAAAACAAAGGGCCGTCTCCGTCTCTCCGGCGGGAAACCAAAAGCTGATAGAGAATAATAATAATAATAATAATAATAAAGAAAATAAAGGGGAGAAAAGAGAGAAAACTTAAGAAGCCATGGCGAAAGAGACGGAAGAGGATCTCCTTCTAAAGAGCTTCATGGCTGAAGTCAGCGAGGTCGGAAGAGACAACGAAATCCTCAGGTTGCTAATCTCTCAAACGACATCAATCAATTCAATTTATGTGATTTTTTTGTAGATAATTAGTTTTTTTTATTGAGTTTTACAGGATACTTTCGTGCTTTAAATTGAATCCTTTTGAACATCTAAATTCACCCTTTGATTCATCAACTGATGATGTGAAGAAGCAATATCGAAAGGTAGGTTAATTTTTTGCTGATATTTTGATTAGTATGCAATTACTCGAATGATTGTGGATCTTTTTGCAGTTGCCTTTGATGGTTCACCCTGATAAATGCAAGCATCCCCAAGCAAAAGAGGCATTTGCAGGTGAACTTTATTTATGCACTTGCAGTTACTGTTTAGTGAAGTGGTGTACAATGTTTCGAGAAAGTATGTAGTGGGGACAGACAATAGCATTAAATATACACTTGCAATCTCTCTTCCAATGTCTTTGTTCTTTGCAGAAAGCACAATGGTTCTTCACTAATTGGTAGTGGCCTCTTGACTTTAACCTGCCTCCACCTCTTAGATAGGGATTCCTACCTCTCGTTGACTTTAGGCCTTTCCTAAAATGTTAGCTCTGGAAGATCCTTTATTCTTCCTCCTCAAGTCGAAATTCGTCAACGCATTAGCCACTTCACTATAGGTGATGGAAAATCTACCGTTCAACAAAGTGAGCACGAATGTATCATACACCTCATCGGGTAAGGAGCCTAATAAAATAATCATATTGTACTCATCCGATATCTTCTCACGGACATTCGCCAAGTCTGACAACGACTTTTGTAATTGTTCACATGATTTGCAAGTGAGGTACTCCTAGACATCTGGAATCTGAACAATATTCGCAGCAAGTGCAATCGATTCTTAACACTCTTCGTAAGATATTTGTTGTTGAGAATCTCCCACATCTTCATCGCAGATGTCACACCGATCACATCGTACTTCAACTCTTACCCAAACAAGATCTTATTACCCCGCAAGCGTTTCGATTCATCTTATCTCATATCGCCTCATCATACTTCGGTGGCCTCTCATGGATCATGATAGTCTCCTTTAAGTTCTGAGCATTTAAAACATCCTATACATCACTCATCCACAATCCAAAGTTGATCTCACCGTCATACTTCACAACACTTATCTTCATATTCTGAAGTGCAATCTGAACTGTGCTTGTCATCACCTTGCTGTTTTCACCAACTTCTCCCATTGCTTGCAAACTCCAAATTGTAAAGAAATATTCGAACTTGATAGATTTGTAAAATTGCCCAACTGAACCTTAGATAGGATTCCAGCACAATCACCCAACCACACGAGGAAAGCGAGATGTCCAACGGCAACTCTGCAAACATATGTCCACCGAAGCCTAAATCTCCAATATCCAAGGTTCCAACAACGAATCTTCCTCTACCCAAAACAAACCCTAGATCTGAAATCCTAGAGCTCTGATAACAATTGTTGCGCGTCGGTGGAAGCGTGCTCGGGAACCAAACACCCACACGAGTCGGCGAACAAGAGAGAAGAACAACCAACGAGTGCAATTCACAAAAAACAGCACAAACCAATCACAAACACAGAAATTTACGTGGTTCGGTAAGTTGCCTACATCCACGAGGAGAGGATGGAGAGATTTTACTATATGGAGGAGAAATACAACGAATTACAACTCTCTCAAACACTCAAAATAACACTAACCAACAACCTCTCACTCTCTCACAATAATTTCCCTCTCAAAGTGCTCAAAAGACTCTTTTTCTCTCTTATTATCTGATTCTCATCTCTTCTAAAATGTTCCATATATATAGAAACTCTAAAACCAAAACAGACTAGGAATTCAACAATTCTAAAGCCAAAATCAAAACAGACTAGGAATCCCAATATCTCTAAAATCAAAATAGATTAGGAATCTAATAATTCTAAAATCAAAACCAAAACAGACTAGGAATTCTGTTTGGCCCAATAACCTGCTATCCAACATGTACAAATTCCAAAATTCAATGATCCAGAAGCTAACATTCATTTGATGTACATTTAATGTCATAGACCCGGATGTACTTAATACTTTTCCCAATGTTTCATACTCAATGAATGAAGTGAAAAGAGTTTTGTAAAGCCATGAATGAAGTGAAAAGAGTTTTGTAAAGCCATGAATGAAGTGGTGAAACTTCAATTAGGTGCACTTTTTGAGGTAGAAGAGTATAAAAATAGAATTACACTTACAATATGTGTGAGTAGGAAAGTAACTACAAAACTAAGATTTTCATGTTGTGTTGTTAGATAGAGGGAAAACTCTCTCTTTTGATACTTCATTGCTACACATAACAAGAGATGATTACATATATATTTATACATGACAAGAGACTTAATATCGAAAGTCTCAACATTTGGTAGGAAATAAGGAGGTATACACGCTACCAAATATAGTTATATGTTAGATAGAGGGAAAACTCTCTCTTTTGATACTTCATTGCTACACATAACAAGAGATGATTACATATATATTTATACATGACAAGAGACTTAATATCGAAAGTCTCAACATTTGGTAGGAAATAAGGAGGTATACACGCTACCAAATATAGTTATATG